GGAAAACCATCCTCTGTTCTTCTCGAGTCCCTTAGTAGCCTGGAGCAGGGCCCAGAACATCACTCTCCCCAGCTCTGATGTCCTCAGATTTGGGAGACACCAGGCCAGCGGGATTTGGCATTTTTTTTATCCCAAACTATGGGCCTACCTTGGGGGCTATAAGAGGAGTGTGCCTCTCGGCCCATCCCCAGGGGGGGTCACACTGACACCCGAGCAGCTGAGCTACTTTCCTTGAAGTCAGACACATGTGACCTTACAGGGGCAAGAGGCCCGGTGGCAGCTCCATGTGTCTTGCCCATGGGGCTGTGACACTGGAGATCACCTGGATCGGGAGGGACAGCTTGCTGCTCCTCAGATGAGCTGTGGAAATCACTGTCCCGGGGTTTTTGTGCTTATTTGCGCTTCCTGGGGACATAGTCCCCAAATAGCCCCAAGACAGCTTGTTTCATCTGCATCTTTGGCCAGCATTTACTGCTCTAGAAAGGTCTTATCTAACCTTTTTTTTTTTTTTAAAGATTTTATTTATTTATTTATTTATTTATTTATTTAAGAGAGAGAGAGAGAGAGAGAGAGAGAGAGAACACAAGCAGGGGGAGGGAGAAGCAGGCTTCCCTTCAAGCAGGGAACCCTGGGCGGGGCTCAATCCCAGCACTCTGGGATCAGGACCTGAGCGGAAGGCAGGCGCTTAATGACTGAGGCTTAATGACTGAGCCACCCGGGTGCCCCTTGTCTAAGCATTCTACAAAAAATCCCACTCTACCCTCATTGTGCCTGCCGCTCTATTTTCTTACCCTGCTTTATTGTCTCCATGCCCTTCAGAACTGCCCAACACTGAAGTTTCAACTTACTTTTGCCTCCTTTCAACCTTACTTTTACATGAGTATAGAAGATCCATGGAAGGAGAGCTTTGCCTCTTTTATTTACCCCATGCACCCAGGGCCTGGCACAGTGCCTGGGAAGCAGGCACTCAATAAACAGTAAAGTTACTATGACTCAATATATCAATAAATTAAGGCACAAGTGCATAAACCTAGCAAGACTTCATGTCAAAATTCATGAGTGCCAATGGCAATGAGTCACACTGCCTTCTTCCTCGGTGTGGATTTCTAAGACATTTGTGATGCTGAAACAAAAAGGACAAAGTTTTAGGTAATTCTTCCACTTATTATGAATAGTTTTGCCTTTGAATATGCTGTTAATTTAAAATTCACTTTGAGAATTGTGCACTAGTTCTAAAGACACGTTTAATAATAATGCCTTACTTTTTTTTTTTCTTTTTATAGTACAGAGGTTTATAAGGGGTTTACAAAGGGATCACATTCATTATCTTCTTCCATTGGAATTGTGGCAGGGAATGGTTAAAATAAAATGGACTTTAGAGTCAGAAAGATGTGGTTTCAAATCCCAGTTTTTAATGTTTGTTATTCATGGAGCTTCATGAATAACATTAAACCCCAGATTTACCATCTGCAAAATGGGTACTCACACACTCTCCATGACCCCGGAACCTACTGGGTAGTGAATACATGGCAGCTGCTGTTATGATTATTACTTTTATTATGAGTACGTTTGATCCATCTGGTATGACAGAAGAAAGAGGTAAACACATATGCTTGGAGACCGTGTTGTTTTTCCCCATAGAAGCAGCAGCAGGAGGCATCTAGGGGGAAAAAAAAGGCAAAGCAAAAGTAAAAACAAAACGAACAGACAATAAAACACACCCCCACCCCCCCCACACACAACAGAAACAAGTTTAGGTGCTAATATTGACTCTCCAGGACTACCTTACCTTCTTGGTTTCCTCATTTGGATTAAAACATTAAATCCCAACCTTGTCTGATCACCAGGATCACCAGTGGGAATTGGGGGGGGGGGGCAGAATTACAGATTTCTGGGCCTCATCCATAAAGATTTTACTTTGGCTCACCTGGCTTGAGGTTCCAAAGTATGCATGTGTGTCGCACTCCCTAGGTGTGCATAATCATCAGTCAAGTGTGCCGATAACTGAAATAGATGACTTCCAAGGGCAAGCCTGTAGCCTTCTGAGTTACTATGATGGCATGGAGTCTGTTTTGAAGAACTGACTATTTTCATGCTGAAGACGTTCCTTCTGCAGTGGAGATCCCCATCCTTGCCGGTCTCTAGGGGGCAGTGTCGCTTAGGTGGAAGGTTCCTCTGAAACTCCTACAGAAGTTGAAGATCATAAGAGGTAGCAAAGGGGAAGAGGTTCTTGGAGGCTGCTTCTTTCATTACAATTGCACAAATCCCCTAGAAGAGAATTTGCTCAAGTCACAGGAACTGTCCTCTTAGTATGTTAAGCTTTTGGCTAAGCTCCTTGTAAGGTCTCACCGTAAGGACCGCCTTGGTTTCTGTGGGGAATGAGGACAGGGGTGAATCACCATGGGCTTTCCAGGCACAAGTTTGTTCTGCGATTACGTCTGAAAAGAATGCCAAGAGGTGGGCTCGTGGATGAGCCATAGGAATGGCGCTCGGGCAGGGGCTGACGCCATGCTGGGTTCAGACCCTGGGACGCAACCACACAGGTGGTGAAGTGGGGGATGTGGGATTGTTACTGACTTCACTCTTCCAGAAAGCCCTACCGTCTAGGATATCCTGTTTACATTCTGGGGAGGAGATAGACTGCCTAGGGCAAAGAGAATCTTGGAGCCGGAATCGGCTGCAGGGTAAACATTGCTGGGTTACTTTTCAGGAAAAAGAATGTGCCCCAAGGCAGACCTTGTGATATGCCACCGCCCCTCCTCGCACATATTCCCAGCAGGCAACATACCGTGTCTAGAGTTAAGATCACATAAATTAAGATTAACAGTTCTTCCAGAAGCTTGTTTTCATCACAGGACCATTGAAGAATCAGAAAGAAAACAGGAAATTTGAGACATGGCCATGGTATCATGACAGACTGTGCTTCTGCACTGGGGTTTAAAAGTCACTTTGTTCTACTTGTAATTACATTTTTGTGAGCAGGAAATATACCTTAAGATATATTCTTTATTCTGAAAAAATTAGCAAAGACTTTTTTAAATTTTTTGTATATTTTTGTATTTTTTTTAATTTAATTTTATTTTTTCAGTGTTCCAGAATTCATTGTTTATGTACCATACCCAGTGCTCCATGCAATACGTGCCCTTCATAATACCCACTACCAGGCTCACCCATCCTTCCCATCCCCCTCCCCTCCAAAACCCTCAGTTTGTTTCTCAGAGTCCACAGTCGCGTGCTTTTTCACAGTTTGAGTTAATTACTGCAAGTTGAATGATGCATGTCAAAATGAAATAATTCTCAGAAAGATTGATGAATAAAACCAACCTCTAAGACATAGTTTATCCCTATAAGTAAACAGATACAAGAGCTTTCTACAACAAATATTTATTCATTGGCATTTCCCATAACAAACTTACTCTATTTTAGTGCTTCTCATCAATATTCCTAGGGAAATTTTAAATAAATCTGGCAATATTGTGGGAAAATTCTTTGCCCTTTTAGAAAATAGACCTAGAATTTTAATTTATGGCAAAATATACATCATACTTCCAGATTTGACTTAAATTTTAAAGTAATAGTTTTGCAAGTATTCACTAAACTTTTCCTTATTTTGACTGACAAGAGAGAATAAGCCGCAACTTGTCTTCTCAATTCATCTGTGTAAAAAATTCTCCTAAACTTTGAAGGTTCATCATGAACTATGAAACTAGCCCTTGGCTTCTGCTCCTGTTATGTATTTCAGCCAAGAATGAGCCAAAGGTTCTGGCAGGGATAGAGAGGTGACTGTGTGGCTCTCTCAAGAGGGTCATAATTTTAACAAGAACTGGTTGGGCATACATTTATTACGTGGTGAGCTCCATGCCAGATGGAGTAAAGCCAGGAGAACTGAGAGAAATAGTTCCTGCCCTTGAGAAGCTTACAACTAGTGAATCAGACATGATGTAATACAGGAAACTATGAAAGAACATTCTGATATGTATATTGTCTGGCTTGCCTGGGGTGGGTATGTGTTGGACATCAAATGTGTCTAGGATACCAGTCAATCAGCCTGGAGACAATTTGGAAAGGCAATGAAGAGCAGGAGATATCTTTTATTTTACATTCTGACTTGTGAATTTTGCTTTCATTGAGTGCCTATCCTGTTCTGGACACCAGAGATACACAGTAAGAACTAAGAGCCCAGGTTGTGTGCATAGGCAAAGAGCAAAGGGAATTAACCGGATGGCTTTTCCTAGAGGTCTTCAAGCCATGCATAGTCCAGGTCTCAAAATGCATGCATGTCAAGTGAATAGTGTTGAAAACATGCTGACTCATTCTTCTGAGTCAGGATCATGGCTTTATTGTCTAAACTGTTGCCTAGGTTCCCCTGCTAGATCTCCTTCCTTCTATTCTGGCCATTTCCGGTCAAGTTTCAACACAGCAATCCTTGACCTTGGACACCAAGGAGGGTGAGAGATTAGAGAGGAAGGACAAGTTCTGAACTTAGCCTGTAAATTTCTCAAATGGCCAGAGACCATTACACTGAAACCAGACAAATCAGTTGCCTTCCTCCAGTAAATAGTAAAGTCATGGGGCACCTGAGTGGCACAGGGGGATAAGCATCTGACTCTTGGTCTCAGCTCAGCTCCTGAGATCAAGGTGGTGAGATTGAGCCCTGAATCGGCTCTGCTCTCAGCTCAGAGTCTGTTTAAGACTCTCTCTCTCTCTTTCTCTTTACCACCTCCCCCCACCTCCACTTTCTCTCTCAAATAAATAAATCTTAATAAATAAATAAGTACATAAATATAAAATCATAGAGAGGGAACACCACGAAGGGGATATTTGGTGGTGTAAATTGACAAACTTATTTTTCTCTAGAAAGGTTCATTAGAAATCCCTCAAGGTTGACATGTCCAGCATCCACATAGTCCCATTACTGCCTTTAAATGTTGACCTGTCCACCATGCTCCCTCTTGGCCACCCATGCTGAGTTCTCACAGCTTCCTGTGCTTTCCTTTCAGTCGCCTCAAGCAGCCCAACAGCTGAAGAGTACACCTTTGATGTGGAGATCAGTTTTGAAAATGCCTCCTTCCTGGAGTCAATCAAAGCTTCCTTGTACAGCCTCAGTTTCCCAATTCAGGGGAACAGCACTGACCAAGCCACCACCATTTTAAGCATTGAGGTGACAACAGGTGAGTCAAAGACCCATTGCTTCAGAACAGAGGGTCGGACATACCAGGAGGAAGGCTGTCTGCACTCCTTACTATTAGAGCAGATTGTACTTCGTAGGCAAGTGAGATGACCCAAAAAGGCCTGAGGTATGATTTATGACTCCACAGACTTCCAGAATGAAGCCCCTACTGGCAAACCTCTGCAGCCAGTTTCCTTATTTCAAATGGTGGCCAAATGTTTGCTTGGTGGTTTGTGTATCACTTGTCACAAAATATGTCCCAAGATACTTCCAGGTCCTTCATGACAAACTGCTGGACCCTATTCCTCTGGGTAATCAATGGGTACAGCAAGGACCGGTTCATGTATTAGTAAGTGGCAAGTTCCCTTCATTCTGGCATCATAGGTCAGGAAATAGGAACCAGGCACACTCCTGGATTGAAGCAAGACATAATATAGAAACCCCCAGGCTATAGGATTGGACATTCTGATCACTGCCTCCCTTTTGAGGTTACGCTAGGTGTCCTACCTCTCAGGCACCATCACCTGGGAAGCTATGTTAGGGGACTCCCCTTTGTCCTAAACAAAGTTACTGTCTTGTAAGCACTAACAGATGTTGGATTTTATGATTCTAAAATGGAGGCAAGCATAAAATTCTTATTTTTCAAAATTTTTTTGGAATTCTTATATTTCAAATCGTCCATCAATATCATCTATGCATTCCAATTTTTTATTCTTAATATATGCTAGCAGAACCTTAGGGATTGCTTCATAGCTCCCTTTTGGTACCCCTTGCCACCAATGTTGAAGTACAGAACTGTACCAGTGTTCACAGATTCCTTGGAGTTTGGGTGTCCCTCCTATTTAAGAAACAATGATCAGATGGCTCTCCTTTGGGTAGTCACTCTGTGCCTTTTTCTAGGAGCTGATTCTTAGAATAGACAATTCCCAGTGATATGGCTTTGATTGAATTTCAGAAATAAATTCAAAGTACTCTGTTTTCAGAGCATTTGCCAATGTCCCCACTGGGGTTAGGAACCGTATTGCATGGAGCGCTGGGTGTGGTGCATAAACAATGAATTTTGGAACACTGAGAAAAAATTAAATAAAATAAAATTTTTAAAAAAGAAAAAGATAAAAAGAAACCATTTTGGTTGTTCACATTGGATTAGAAATATAAAAGGCACAATCGCATTTGTACTTGGTGTTCGTTATCTGTTGCCACTTAACACATTAGCTCAAAACTTAGCATCTTAAAGCAACAAACATGTATTGTATCCCATAAGTTTCCAAGAGCCAGATTTGGGAGGAGCTTGCCTGGATGGCTCTGGCTCAGGTCATATGAGAGTATAGTCAAGCTGTCAGCAAGAGGGGCAGCCCTCTGAAGGCTTGACCAGGGCTGGAAAATCCACTTTGAAGCCCACTCCTGTGGTTGTTGGCAGGACCCAGCTCCTTTCTAGCTGTTGGCTGGAGGCTTTTGTTCCTCACCATGTCAACCTCTCCATGACATGTCCTCATGCAATGGCAGCTGGCTACCCCCATAGCAAACAATGAAAGAAAGAGACGGAGAGAGAGAGAGAGATCACAGAGGAAAACCACAGTATCTTTTATATCCTAAGCTCAGAGATGATATATCATTACTTCTGCCATATCCTGTTGGTCTCACAGACCAAGCCTAGTACACTATGAAAGGGAGTTACAAGAGGGTGTCAGTACTCAGAAACAGGGGTGGAAAGGGACAATGCTGGAAACTGGCTCCCATATACTTCATGTCCAGGAATCTGTTCATCATAGTGTCATTGTAGGCATCCCCTGAGATAGTCAAAGCCATCACCCTTGAGGTGGCCATGCCTGACGGCATGGTGATGCATAATGGGAATCACATGAATCTCATGTAATACTATTGAACTTCCCAGAGGGCCATATGCAGTCAAGTTAGGATTTTCTACAAGTATAAATACTTACAGTCTATAAATGTAAAGGTGGTGACCACCTTCTCTCTCCTTGCTGTTCTACATAATGCTAGTCTGCAGACCTACTGGAAATGAAATCTGGTGCTCCTGTGAGACAGGCTACAGGTGGCCTCAGGAACGCTGCCTCCAGAACCTCACATGTCAAGAGCGTGACAGCGTCCCTGCAGGGCATCAGTGCAGTTGCCTTAAAGGACTACCTCCCAAGGGACCTTTCTGCCAGCTCCAGGGAGGTAAGTAACTGTTCATTAAATATTTCTTTGTTGAGTGGCTATTTGATAGAAACTCAAGCAAATGTTTCTCTGTCCTGTGTGTATTCACTTGTTAACATGAGATTTTAAAATATTGCCCTGGTTTTGTTTTGTTTTTTGTTTGTTTGTTTTTAGCAGATGTTACCTTGAGAATGTCGGTCAGACTCAATGTGGGCTTTCAAGAAGACCTCAAGAATACTTCCTCTGCTCTCTATAGGTCCTACAAGACTGATTTGGAAACAGCGGTAGGTTTTGGCCCTGGGAACCTCTTAAGCAACAAGTTCTTCAGGCTGAACTGAATCTGTTGCATTTACAGTGATAATTTGCTTAGAGCTGTCAGAATTTATGAATGTGGAGATCAGAATTATTCCTCCAAGTCTGGGATGATGAATTAAGATGTGCTCAAATCAAATAATGTTCATGATGCTTTGACATCATCTTGACCTAGGTGGGACTTTTTCCCAGGGTAGGATTGATTCAGAGGTGATCTGGTGGCATCAGCTCACCAAATCCTAATCAGAGGTCCTAGAACCTGGTCTAGAAGTGCCTGATGGTGCATTTCTGCTTGTCTTCACACACCGCCTAGATGAAGCCCCTAGCGTCTTTTGGGCAGATCAACCTAAGGCTGGTACCAGGGGTTTCAAACCTTCTATTTTACAGGTACCAAGGCATTGTCCCTTATGACAGATTTAAATTTATTCATATAAAAATAGCGAGTATTCCCTGAGTGCTAACTGTGTGCCAAACACTATTCTAAATGCTTTACATTGGATTAATTCATCTGAACCTAAATGCTTTCCTTGAATTAACTCATTTGGAGTAGAGCTTCCCAGTTGGAGTGCTACAAATTATTATAGGTGGGGTGAGATAATGACTTCCCTTTGTCCTCTGGGCAGCCAAGCCCCTGTTTTGTTTCTCCCACGCAATGCAAATAAACCGTAAGCATCTAGACTCTTCCAGGTCAGTTACTGCCAGGAGCGCCTCTGCTTACCCTTCTATATCACAGAAATTATTTTCATTTCCCATGGGCGCCATGCTGAAATGCTGGGGAACTCCTGGACATCTGATTTGCATATTTGGCATGTAATATTTCTGCACAGCATGAAAAGCTTCCATACACACACACACACACACACACACACACACTGCACACTGCACACTCAATTACACACGTTGGAGGGAAGAGAGAGTGGCATATTCATCTTCAATCCCCCCAATCCATGTACCTGGCACAGTGCTTGGCACCCCCCGTGCTTTGTGTGTAACATCTACCTGCAGAGGAGACTTGAATGGAGATGAATCTCCTGTGGGTTGGCATTCAGAGAAACCTCCCCATTTTCTTTGCTAGGCATTTCCTGGAGTAAACATTTTGCCCATGTAACTGGTGCTTGGTTCTTGGAGAACCCAGCCTGAGAAAGGCAGATAGGAATTACTTCTTCAAAGATCTGCCTATCCCAGCACTATTAAAATAGATGGGAGAAAGGTTTACCCAGGGTGACAAAGAATACGTGCTTTTTACTTGGCTTTAAATCCTTTGGCTTATCTCTCCCTGGACCTTGATATGATGACACTTGTCTTACTTTGTTTTCCAGTTTTGGAAAGGTTACAGCATTTTCCCAGGCTTCAAGTTGGTGACTGTGACAGGATTCAGGTAAGAAGCTATAATCAGGTCATTTCTAGTGGCAGAGACCAATACATTAGCAAAGGAGAAAAAGCCCATTGGGGGGCATCATGTGGGCACACAACGGGAGTACTTTGGTAGAGAGGAATACAGTGTCGAGTTGCTGTGGCTTGAAGAGGGAGGCAATGCTGAGAACAGAAACTTGCTCCCTAGAGATGTACCTACTTAGATGGAAAGTGAGCAAAAACCTTGTGTTTATTCTCTGCATGCAAGAATTTTGCAAACAGTTACAGGATAAGTTTGCAGTCCGGCGAGTTCCGAGATATAACAATGAAATAATGTCACCCATGATGCCTTTATTCAAGAAAAGTCGTCCGCCAGCCACAACCACATAGTTGCTGTGTGAATCTTTCCTCCTGGAGCTGGGCACCATGGCAGCCCTGAGCGGGTTAGTGGAGGGTTTCAAAAAGTTAGTTGCCAATTTTAAAAATAAAGAATGCTCACAGAAGCATTCAGGAATTTGGCTTCCCTTGACATTCAGCATATCTGGTATCTGGCATTCAGCAGAGGGAGGGTAAATAATGCTACCCCTGGGAGCAGCATGGCTGTGTGACAGGTTCTCTGAGTTGTACCTGCCCCCTGCCATGCCCAGCTCTTGTGATTCACTCCACTTGTTCCTATCTGGCTGTTTCATTCGTTGATGTCACCTGTCTGCAGACCTATGAGAAGCCTGAGTGTGTGCCTCAGGCTTCCGACTAAAGTTTAATGACGGGTTGATTTGAGTGAACCTTTGAAGACTGACGTACCCAGGCTGTTCCTGCCATTTTGTTTCTCCCACGCAATGCAAATAAACCGTAAGCATCTAGACTCTTCCAGGTCAGTTACTGCCTTACTGAACGGAGTGGTCTCCATCCAGGCCCGGAAGTGTGGTTGTGACATATGAGGTCCAGACGACAACACCATCACCCGACTTAATGCATAAAGCAAATGAACGAGTAATGCAGAACCTTAATCAGACCTACAAAATGGACTACAGCTCCTTTCAAGCAGTTACTAGCAGTAAGTAGGACATCTCCACATTTCCCCTGTACGTGGATTTTGTTTAGATATAGTAAGGGTGTTTATATTATGCTTAAAACTAGGTTTATGTGCCCACCCCTTCCCCCATCTGAGGTGCCGGTGCAGAGCCTCCCAACCAGGCCAATGTCACTGCAGTTGGGAGGGGGGATTGCAGGGGAGAGAGATTTGACAGGAGAGTCTCAGAGCCATCTGGGTTTATGGATTTTTTAATAAAAAATTAGAAGACCCCAAACATCCCAAAACTGACATTACGGTGGGGGTTGGGATATTCATGAAATGTACTGATATTGAACAATTGATACTGTTATTTTGGAGCAGGAGTTCTTGAAGCTGGGCCCCCAGACCCAACAACATCAGCACCACCTGGGAACTTGTTAGAAATACAGGGCACCCCAGACTAACCAGGGTGATCGGCATTTCAACAAGCCCTTCAGGTGATTCTGATGCACAGGGAAGTTTGAGAACCCCGGCTCGGGAACACATAGAGCATGGATAAAATCCTGGAGTGTTAGATGCTCTTCCCTGTTTACAAATGGGTACAGAGAGGGGCACCTGGGTGGCTCAGTGGTTTAAGCCTCTGCCTTCAGCTCAGGTCATGATCTCAGGGTCGTGGGATCGAGCCCCGCATCGGGCTCTCTGCTCAGCAGGGAGCCTGCTTCCCTTCCTCTCTCTCTGGCTGCCTCTCTGCCTACCTGTGATCTCTGCCTGTCAAATAAATAAAATAAAATATCTTTAAAAAAAACAAAAAAACAAAAAAAACAAATGGGTACAGAGTTGTGTTCTGTTGTGTGATTAGGTAGGTGGGTGGACCTATTGTTCCTTGGGGAATAGAGAGGAGCGCCAGATGGGCAGAGAATTGGAGAGTAAGAATTTGCTGGCGGAAGTCCTAACTCCGGTCCATGGTTCCGGGCTCAAGGTGATTCCTTTTTGGAGGGACACTGTCTCCCAGTGGGGAGGGCTCTGAAAGGACTGTTGCAGGCACACCTGGGAGAAAGGCACCCCTTCTCAGGGGTTAAGCCATCCTCACAATAGGTTTATAAGTTTTGTCTTTACATTTTCTGATATTGTTAAATGCCAGATCATTTTTAAAAACAGAATATCGAACGATACATATATAATGGTAAGAAGGTGTTACAACATAAACAAGAAAAAAAGCAAAATGAAAGTTCAGAATACATAAGAGAGCAACAACACAGGTGGAAACTGGAAAATTAAAGGAAGTGGCCTAAAAGTATGGGCTCCCACGGAAGGCACCCAGCAATGCCACCCCCTCCTGACCCCGAACACCACCCCCAACCAACCCATGTTTTACCTCCCAAAATTCCTTAAGTTTGTGGTTCTGAGGGCATAGGTGAACATCAGGCTCTGGCCTAAGTAATCCTTGGTTATGATTACTCCCCCCAAATTCCCTTTGTGTTGAGGATAGTCAACCATTTAAAGGAGTCGGTAACCAGCAGTGTTACCGATCAGTGGCTGACTGTCGGTCAGAAACATGGTGCTGACAGTATGGTTCCCCAAAGCGCTTTGGAGATTGTGGCTTATTCTTCCAAAGAGCCATGAAGTCATTGTGAATGGCACTCAGCACCACTTTTGTAGAGCGTCTGCAACCATCTCTGCTCTCCTTGGGAGAGCAGAAATAACTCTGTGATATGCACAGTTTCTGAACGATAAACAGGAACATAGGTCACGTGCATTTCCACAGGAAAGCTCCCCCATCAACCTGCTCTACATAGCGTTGGTGCTGTTTACCTAGGAAGAGAATAAGAAAGAAAAAAAGCTGCATGCATGATTTGGTATCAGAAAGTTATTTCAAATCTTTATGAAATACCAAGGGCACAGAATGTTCAGAATATCTCCATTTATTTGGTTGTATATTTATCCTCAGAATAATTAATGTTGGATTAATTAGCAGGGGCTCTTAACCAGGATGCCCTTTCTTTAATCACTGCCCACAAATTCATGGGCAATTCCACATAACCCCATGATACCAGCAGTTTTACTAAGCATTATTGTTAGCCACAGTGATGATGAAAAGAGACACATTGTTACTGTATCTTTTCTGTGTTTAGCCTGGCGTGTTACACAAATTGTGTCCTTGTATATCCTGTGAGATGGGTACTGTTATCTCCACTTTACAGGGGAGGAACTAGAAGCGGAGGGAGGGTGAATAATGTGCCCAAGAACACAGAGGAAGTAACATAAGTCTGTATGACTTCTGAGTCTGGTGGCTACATTAACTATTCCCAGGAGGCCTTGTTTCTTAACTGTTGGGTGTGATATTTTAAAATCTTCTATTCAGGAGCCTAAAAAATATGATAAATATTTAGATCCCTTGATACTTTTTGACTAGAACATCCTAGCTCCCAAAATTAATTTTATGGTATTGTGCTCCCGTGATGACAGTATGGAGAGGGACTGATGGAGCGTAAAGCCCGCATAGAGCTTCCTTATCCAGCACCTCTGATCTCTTCAACTCATGGAATTCCTGCAAGTTGTAGAATGAGAAACACAACTTAAAGGGGAAAAAAGCACATGCTGTGTAAACAAAGGACAACAATAAACACACACCCACACCCACAGAAATAGCAAATGTGTTTTACTTCTATCTGTGAAATGACTTGATGCTATGGTTCTCCAGATTTGTATTATGAAAACAATAATCACTGCTATTGCCCTAAATCACCTCCCCCATAGCTCTTACAGCTCTTGTTTTCCAGACAATTGAGCTGAGACTCAGAGAGGCTGAGTAAATTGCCTAGAGCCACACAGCTATATGTGTCACAGAACCGGGATTCAACTCTAGATCTGTGTGTCTATAAAGTTCTCCTTCTTAAGGGACCAGGGGTATGAAATCTCTTAAAAAATTCTAAATTCTTAAGAGACTTTATTACAAGAAATTATTTTTCCCCATTTGTACTTCATCAAAGCCATACAACAGAGCTTTCAGAAGTATAAGATACCTGTTCTTGGCAAGAGGCAGTTGATATTATTGAGTCAGTAGCAAAGAACCTTGAGGTTTAAATGAGCTGGTGTGGTTTTTTTATAAGCAACTGAGCATTTTCTACCAGACTATGCAAAATATTAAGAATAGCTTTGGAATCCCCATCACCACTGATGAGGCCAATTAAGTATGCACAGACTCCAAACTTGAAACCTTGTCCCCAGTATCTGGCAGGTGGCAACTCTTTGGGCTTCAAAGACCAGCTGTTGGGGGATGGAATGAGGAAGACGTGTTGCTTCCTTCTAGAAGCACCATGGCCCCATGTAGTGGTGGTGTCCGGGGGGGCAGTCTCAATTCCATTCATTTGCTTTGGGGTCTTAATACCTTTTCTTTGGGTTCCCAGATGAAACGAAGTTCACCGTCATACCAGAAATCATTTTTGAAGGAGACACAGTAAATCTGGTGTGTGAAAACGAAGTTTTGTCCTCTAACGTGTCCTGGCACCATGTTGAAAGGCGCTTTGACATCCAGAACAGCAGCAGATTCTTGGTTTACACCACCGTGCTCAACAACATGACCTCCATATCGCACCTCACGATTTACAACATCACTCAGGGCGATGCAGGTGGGTTTCTGTCCAAGAACTGGTGCAGAGAAAGGAGCAAAGGGCTTGTAAAGAAGCAAGCCATGGAATATATGTGAATGTGTGTGTGTGTACATAATTTTATTATATATATATAAAATAAATTAAAAATATTTAAAAATAAATAATATATAAATAAAATTTATAAAAATTTTTATTAAAATTTATAAAATTTATAAAAATTTATTTAAATATATATATAAGTAAAATAAAATAAATGAAATATATATAAAATAAATAAAATAAAAATAAATAAAAATAAATATTATACATGTGTGTATATGTATGTGTATATATATACATACACAGTGTTTTCCTCTTTGAAAAGAAGTTCACCAGTCTCAATTTTTCAAAATTAAAAATGAATCCCATGGTATATAAATAAGAAATACATCCTTGGAGACAAAAGCAGATTTCTACATTTACCAAGGCTTATGAGTTGGAAACAGAGACAAAAATATGACTTTTGTTTTTAATCTTCAAAAAATTTTCAACAGGTTTGTTGGGATGGAATTGACATCTAATAAGCTGTACATATTTAAAGGGTACAGTTTAATATGTTTTGACATATGTGTACACCTGTGAAACTATGCCCTGCCTCAGGAGAGTGAATGTAACCGTTACCCTCTTCCCAGTTTTCTTGGATTCCATTGTAATCTCTCCCATCTCCCACTCTCCTTCCCCAACACCCTCAGAAGCAGAAGTTTTAAACCTGACACTCCAGAATTTAATAACCCCGTTGTAACCCAGATACTAGCAGGGGAATCTCTTTTTCCCTGGCAGAGAAGTTGGGTTGCAAACCACAGGCCCTGTTACATCTTTGTGGTTCTGATTTTGCCACAGAGTGAAATAGAATGCCAAAATCATCCACAACCTTCTAATCCTCTGAGGCTTTCCAATTTTTCCTTTCTATCTCTTCCATCCCCACACCTTTTATCTCATCAACAAAGACTGAGATTTCTGCTCCTTCCTTAGAACATCTCTCTACTCATTAACCTGTAGCATCAGAAATGATCTGCATTGAACTTCAACACTTCCTGAATGTTTCTTTAGAGTTGTCTAGAGCAAGTCTTGGATGATTTTGAAAACGATGCTTCAGGAAGTACTGTCACGACACATGAGATGAGACTATTGTTCTTCTAAGGAACTCCACATATGTAATAATAAAAAAACATGATTGTAAGGGGAGCTGGGTGGCACAGTCGGTTGAGCTGGTCAACTCTCGATTTTGGCTCTGGTCATGATCTTGGGGTCTTGAGATGGAGCCCTATGTCAGACTCTGCCCTCAGTGAGGAGTCTGCTGGGAATTCTGTTTCCCTCTCCCTCTGCCCCCTCACCCCGCTCGCTTGCACACTCTCTCTCTCAAATAAAAAAATAAATCTTAAAAAAATACATGTGTGTATTCTATGCAGGTGAATATATTTGCAAGCTGACATTGGATATCTTTGAATATGAGTCCAGAAAAAAAATAGATGTCACACCCATCCGAATTGTGGCAACTGAAGAAATGAAGGTGACATGCGACAACAATCCTGTATCTTTGAACTGTTGCAGTGAGATTAATGTGAATTGGAGTGCTATAGAATGGAAGCAGGAGGGGAAAATAAACATTCCAGGTGAGAATGTTAGATGCCCTTTTACATATACATTTTTGCCTCTTGGCCAAGTAAAAGTGGGAGATGCACTGGGTGGGAGAGGAAATGTCAGGTGACTGTTTTTTCCCAAACTTCAGACTATTAAAATGGAACTAGGCTTGATGCCAGCTCCAGCTTAGCTATTCTAGAACAACATTCCAAAAATAAATGCATACAGAGGTCATGCTTGGGTTGTGGACAAGATCCTGGCTGAGAAGACCTGATGACTTTGGTCCACAGTAACTCCTACCTGTAGAAGAGCTGGCCCCCCACCTTCCCTCCCTCTTCATCTTCAGAAAAGAGCTAAGGATGAGGTCATTGACTTTGCTTTGGAGTCTGGTTCTGAACTTCTCTTGTCTGTGTGTCTTCTCCTGGTGTCTGTCCTTCTCAAGTCTGCCTCTGTCCCACATCTTTCTGTATTACCTAACTCTGTGTCTTTGTGTCTTTTTTTTTTCCCCGTTTCTCTGTATAGACCCATTTGTCCCTCAATTGTTCCATGTCAATTTCTGATCCTACTTGGCTTCCTTTCAGATCTGAGATATTACTGGAAGTTCTCCACCCTCCCATTTATACTCATGAATGATAATAATAAATAGATTAAAAGAGCAACTCTGACCCTGTTTTGTGTAACAGTTTATGATTAATCAATGTTTTAAAAATATGTTATCACTTTTGATCATATTTAACCCTGATCACAAGTTCGAAGCTGGTATTTCTTGCCTCCAATTTGCAGATAAGGAAATTGAGGGCGACACAGACTTATCCAAGGTTGTCAGAAAGGAAAAGAAAGACTCACCTCAGGTCTGATTTCCCAAGACCAGTGTTTGCCTTGGCAAAAGTATGTTAGCCATGCCTGAGGAGCCAGGGCTGGGGCGGGCTGATCTGGAAGAGTTTGCTCTGGAGCAGGAGACTTTTTTGTCTGGAGACTTCACATAACAAGACCCAATCCTTCCCTTAAGAAATGACAGCTTTATGTGTTCATCTTTACCCAAAAAAAATCATTTAAGTAAAATGTGGCTTTACTCGTGAAATTCATCAGTGCTGTAAAGTTTTACAGTACAGACTCTTTGCTATCAGACTATATTTTTATAAAAAAATAAAATAATGATTAATCTACATGCAAATCATCCTGAGCCCATCTATTTGCAAAGCACATTTCACCTGCTGCTTCTGTATTTTACTTTAAATCCCCCATGAAGGGGAAAAGCATCTGGTTACTGTTGAAAATGTTGACACAGGAGATGTTTAGTCGCTTCCTTGATTTTTCAGGAAGTGGTGGTTGTAGGCACCCTGGAGGAGCGGCCAGATGGGAGAAAGACCTTGCAAAGTTCCCTCGGTACTGACTTCATACACTTACAGCCCAAGAGGTGAAAGCCTCGCCCTCTGGCAGAGGAACCAGGAAGTTTCCAGTACAAATGGTCAGGGACCTCTCCGTGGTCACCACTGTTTCAGACATTCCTAATGCCCAGTGTGGGAGACAGAACAATGGATTTCCTGCCATGGGGCTGGCCACCTGGGGACCCGCACTGTCCATTCTCTGATGAACTTAGCCTTTGCCCTCGGCACCTGGCCTTCTTCCTCCCCTGTTAGCCTCCGCTCTGAAGTGCGCGCTCGCTCTCTCTCTCTCTCTCTCTCTGTCTCCAAATTCCATGAGCTCTTTAGCACCCATTCTTCCAGGTCAATAGGAGACAATCTAGCAAAACAACTCACTCCAAAGCACGAGGAACTGAATGACCTACCTCATTTCAAAAACAGGTGCATTTCATTTTCAAAATACAAGGGATAAGACAGAAGGAAGGTAATCAGCAGTGGCAGAATTTCTAACATGAAAAGGGTAGTCTTTTTTGAATGGGGGGGTGCTTCCTGGAGTTTTTCAACTCATCAGGTAGCAACTAATAATATAAATGGTAATGGTACAGAAGTAATAGTATCAGTAGTAGTAAGAGTAGAAGTGGTAATAGTTACTATTATTGGTGCAGCATCTCGCCTGCCTAGTGTAGTACTAGCTAGCTTCACCTGCACAGAAATGGATGGACAAACTGGGGGAAATTAACAGCAACAGAGTTTGTAGTCTCGCTGCAGCTGTTATGTGGTGTGATGATAAAAACTAACGGAGCCTTAACTCCCTCCTTGCACACAAGTTAGAGCAGTTCCGAAAGAGTTCATTAACTTTTCGTGGCCCTGCCTACCATACTCCAGTGGCCGCTGATCAGCGGAGTATTCATAAAACAACTGAATATTTACAAGAGGATGTGACCTTGACTGTGACCTTGGGGGACATGAGAGGGAAGAGCTTCGAACTCCACTGTCCCCTTACTTGCGTCTTTTCTTCTGGATTGCCCCACTGAAATATTTAAGCCCATGTTACCGTGTGTGCCTGCAGTCCGTCTTAGATGGTTCTGGTTTGGTTTGGGTTTTTTGGCAGCCGGACAAGGCATCAGTCAGTTATAAAGAAGGGAGACTGGGTGTTTTTCTTTCCTGAGTAGCAATCAGTCTGTGGCTTTGGAGTCCCTTGACGAAGTGCCCCTAGAGGCAGGCTGGCTTCAGGGTCTGAGGTGAGCCCAAGTAGAGAAGCAGCAGGAAGTGGTCCCTAGCACCCCAGGAGGTGGTGTTCTCCTTCCTGGCCGCATGTGAGGGTCTCCCCAGGGGGTTATTAGACAGACCAGCTGTCAGGGCTCTACCCCAGAGCAGCCAACATCAGGATCTCTGGGTTTGGGCTCCAGGTGATGTGGTTTGTAGTGGCATCCATGAGCCAACCACCAAGAAAGAATAATTGAGTCATTTTTGGTGCTCAGAGGTGGTTTTACTAAAGTGGGGAAAGGAACCCTGGGCAGGAATCACCGCACTGGGATTATGAGGAGGACTTAGTTTATTTTTGGAGTTAGGGGAAATAAAGCCCAAGGAAGTTTCCAAATTGGATTTTCATATGTTGAAAAAGACACACACTCTCTCTCTCTCTCTCTTAATTTCTAATTTCTCCTACCCCAGTGACCATCACTAATGGTCTGTGTGAGGGGCAGGCCCCGACTGGGTGCTGTTCTAAGTGTCTCTGTATCTTAACTCATTTAACCTGACTACGCAATCCGAGGCGGTAGCTATGATTTTTGGTCCCCATTTTCCACCTGGAGAAACTGAAGCACAGAGCAGTCGGGTGACTTTTTCAACCATAGCCTGCTAGTAAGTGGGAATTTGGGATCTGCAGCCAGACTGCCCGGTCCCAAGTCTGCAGACCTAACCACCATACAGTCCTCCCTCTCCAAAGAGAAGAAATTGGATTTAAATAGTAATTCCTTTTCCCGGATTGGGCCTCTTTGCTCCTAAATGGAAGAGTCAGCCAACTGTGACAGTGAAGGAACTGCTTCTGTATCTGCAGGCAACCCAGAAACTGACCTAGAGTCCGGCTGCAGCAGATACACCTTCAGGGCGGATGGGACTCAGTGTCCCAGCGGGTCCACTGGAACGACCGTCATCTATGCGTGCGAGTTTGTCAGCATGCACGGAGCCAGAGGCAGTAAGAACATAGAAGTGACATTCACTTCCATGGGTAAGGACTCCTTCACCTCCAGCCAAGGGCTGTCAACCCCCTGGGAATATCTCTGAGCTACCTGGAGTGTGGTTGGGGTAAATCACAAGCGGGAGAAAGAGGGGGTGTTCCTCCCCAGGTCTGCCTGGCACTGAGAAGGCAGGAAGGGACCAGAAAGGAGAGTTTCACACTCGGATTAGTCCTAAGTCATGGAGTTCATGACGAAGGTGGTATCCCAAATTTTCCCTTTTCCTTCCATGAGCCCATCCTCCTTCCCTTGTAGGCCAGTAGCCAGGCTCATGGCCCACCACCAGCAGGTAAAGACACATTCTGTTCTGTCCTCCTTCCCCTCCCACTCTACCTATTCTAGACAGAACCTTGCAGGAAGCTTTAATAATTTGAGACTTTATGATCATTTTACAGTTGTCCTGAATATTTTTTAGTCTTTGACTAAAGGCTTTCAACTGAGTTAGTCTTTTTTTAAAAAGTGTCATTTATTCTCCTCATGTATTCTAACTTCACCCCTGTCTGCAAAAATGGGGCAGTCACACTTGTTTTTCTCCCCGTTTTACAAAACCTGAACCACTTAGATCAATCACCAGATCACTTTGAACAATTTGGAGGAAGGACTAATACCAACACTACTGATTACCCTCGTTCACCCTTGCTACTCTTGTGACTTAGGGTTTTTTACAAAGATCAAGGTGGCGCTTATCTGAAAACATTAATGCCATAGAAGAGTTCGTGGGTCTTCTGAGCAATTTGCAGCTTTCTGTAGTGAGAGCAGGTGGACGCTTCAAGTTTCGACTCAAGAGTTGTATTGATTAGATGGGATTTTGGTTGTCACAGAAACATACTTAGCTTTCACTGAAAACCACTGGTCTGGTAGTTTGGACGTTTTCTGAGAATCGAGAGAACCAGATTCATGGTTCCATGAGCCTCTCCCTTTTCACTCTCAGAAGCCGCTGAACCGTAGAAAGGCATCTCCACACCAGATCCCGACAGCCAGTGAGGCCCATGGGAGGGACACGGCAATCCATGCTTATGTGATTGGGGGACTCTATCTGCACATTGGGATCCCAGCCTCTAAGGGGCACTGTGGGCAGGTCTGATTTCTTTTTATTGTGACGAAGGGCAAGATTCTACACTGGTGGGAAAAGCTGGCTGGCATCAGTGGGTTCCAGGCATGAAACCATTCACCTCCAGGAGATAAAAGTGAACGGCATTTTGAAATGTCAATGACATGCTCAAAGAGGGGTGGAAAGATAGAAGCAGAGGCCCAAAAAAGTGGACTGTCCATATAAGCCCTTACCTTTGTAAGGGTCTTGTTAACATTTTTATGGAATAATTCCTCATGAATTTATGAGGACATTCTCATAAGGAGGAGTAAATGTAGAGAGACTTAGAGTTAAGGTGTCTCTCCCTCCCAGTTTGCCTGAGACTGTCGTGGTATAATTATTTGGACAATACATTCTAGGATGCCTGTACCTCGAATGTTGTTTCAGAAATCTCTCTTTGGCTTAGTAAGTGTTGGATGTGTACTATAGTCAGTGGTAAGCCCTGGGAAATGCAAAGACATAGAAAAGAGAGCCCTGCTCTTAAGGGGTTCACACTTTTATGAAGAAGAGATACAGAAAGAGAAATTAAAATACAACACGGTGTTATTTAAAACATGTTTTAAAAGGGTAGAGAATGGCGTTGTTACAAGAACAGAGCCATTGGGCATGGAAAAGGTTGAGGGGAGCTTGGGTTATGTCAACAGCCCTAAGTTTGCAACCTTTCGCCCTGCCGATCATCAGGAAATAATTCCAGCCACAACAGGGAAGTGCACCAGCTCCCAAGGCAGGAGATGGAAATGAGTACAGTTGAGAGCACCACCGGGAACAGCCTAGAAACAAAGAAAGCCCAGGAGCCGCAAGGTACCCATCCCGCAATGACACCAGTGGAGTCAGGACGGCCCATGCTTTCTGCCTCTGTCTTAAATTTCACTCGTGTGTCGATGTCACCAGAAAGACTAAATCTTGTGCTTGTTGTTGGTTTTTCTTTTGTCCGTTCTGTGTGCATTCTTTCAGCCAACCTAACAATAACCCCGGACCCAATTTCTGTTTCTGAGGGACAAAACTTTTCCATAAAGTGCATCAGCGATGTGAGTAACTATGATGAGGTATACTGGAACACTTCTGCTGGGATTAAAATATACCAAAAGTTTTATACCGCCAGGAGGTCTGCTGCTGGAGCAGAGTCGGTGCTGACCGTGAAGACGGCGACCCGGGAGTGGAACGGTGGGTGCGAGACCCCAGACCCTTTCTGTTGCCATGCTGCCCGGGGCCCCTGGGAACACTCTGAAAGAGGGACCAGACCTGGAGGGGCTGTCCCAGGATGTGCCTGCACCACCGCACTCCATGCAAGAGCTTTGTAGGGGAAGATGTCCCAAATCTCCATTGTATTCATGTGGAAACAGTGGCTCAGAGAGAGTAACATGTGCGCCTGGGCTCCTCCTTCTCACGGTGCAGAGTCAGGACTGGAACTGGGATCTCCAATTCAGGAGCTTGCGCTGCCGCCATGAAATTAAGAGGATTGTTTTGCTGCTTATGTTTAAAGATGTATTTGTTTATTTTAGGGAGAAAGGGAGTATAGGCGGGAGGGGCGGGGAAAGGGAGAGAGAATCCCAAGCAGATTCCCTGCTGAGTGCGGAGCCCCATACTGGGTTCAGTGTCACGACCTGAGCCGAAACGGAGTCTGTTGCTTAACTGACTGAGGTGCCCAAGTGCCCCAAGAGGATTGTTTTTAACAGTGGTTTTACCAGAATTTTAGGAGTTTTTCACCCAATCGTGATAAAAAAAAAAAAAAAAATCTAGGTTAAGGATTTATATGCCTGGTTCCAAAGAAAGGAATATTTGCATTTCATATTTATCCCTACATGTTATTCATGTTGGAAAGAAATGCAGAGATTTGGAGGGTGGAGAATTATTTGCTATAATTGCTGCAATAAAAGTTGACATGTATTGAGCCCTTCATATGTGATAGGCACGGTGCTAAGTGTTTGAGTGGATTAGTTCATTTACGACATAAACCTAGAGGATGCCTGTGTGGCTCTGTTGATTAAGCATCTGCCTTTGGCTCAGGTCATTCTCCCAGGATCCTGGGATCTAGTCCCACATCGGGGGTCCTTGCTTAGTGGAGAACCCTGCTTCTCCCTCTGTCTGCCACTCCCCCTACTTCTGCTCTCTCTCCTTCTCTGAAAATAAATAAAAATAAATTTTAAAAAACCCCAATAAACCTAGAGGACAGTGTTATTAGTATCCCCATTTTACAGATGAAGAAACTGAGGCCCAGTGAGGCTAAGTAAAATATCTGAGGTTATATATCTGGAAAATGGCAGAGCAAGGGTGAAATGGAGACTGTCTGGCCAACCCGGGACCACTCCCCTCTGAATGCTTTCATTAGTTATAAGTTTCATCAGTCCAGGTCCTACAAGTCCCGGGTCTTTATTTGCTTGTGTAAGGCCTAGGTATCATTGTAGAAATAACTTGTCACTGTGGCCGGCCTTGGTAGAATACAGTCAGGAGACAGAATAGTGTTCCCCCGTGCTGAGCTTAACCTACACTGTCCAATTGCTCTTCCCCTTGAGGAGTCATAACTGAGGAGGAGACATGGCTTTTCCAGGAACATAAACTATTTGACTATCCCATACTCGGGACAGTCAAAATCCCATTCTCATCTAAATTAGCTATATTTTCATTTCATATCGAATTTACATTTCCCTCCTTCCCAGAAGAAACAGAAGGGGGTTTGTTCTCTGTCCTTGTTCTCCCTGTTTTCCCTCTGGCTATGTCATGGCTCTAGTTCCTCCAGAGTTGGGGCAAAGAGAAGGAATGTTAAGAAAGTAAAAGGGTCTTACTCAACTGTAGGTGCTGTTACCATCTTCCTGCCCTGTCCCCATGATGGCTGTTCAGGTCATGGCTCATCTTGTGACGGACCCTGGTATAAAGACCACTGGGATAAGGTCCTCTCTAGAAGCTCAACCCAAGGACCAGGCTCAGCCCCCTCTGCCTCACCAAGCACAGGCTGCACAGTCTACTTTTGCTGTAGCCTTCCAGAAAGACCTCTTGTCCTTAGACTTTCCTAGAATAGAGTCAGGCATCAGACATCTAACTCTAGGGTCCACAGGGGAAGCTCCCTCAAGAATTTCAGCCTAACCACTTCCACACACTTTGAAGGTATCATGGTGCTGGCATGCCTCCTCACTCACAGATGGGGCGAGGGGACACCATGCCACCACAGAGCTCTAGGTGGCTGACAACTGTCTTTGAAGAACTCCTCAGCCCTGCACACACCCAAATTCCCATGATTCTCCCTGAGTTAAGGAAAGAGACTTGGAGTAGGTAATGGGAGCTTGGTTTGAATTCCAAGGGCATCTGGCTTGCTCAGTTGGTAGAGCATGCAACAATTGATCTCGGAGTCCCAAGTTCGACCTCCACATAGGGTGCAGAGATTACTTAAATAAACAAATCTTTTAAAAAAAGAAAAAGAAGAAGAAATGTGATTCCACACCTAATAGGCTGTGTAACTTTAGATAAGCCACTTAATTTTATTTAAAAGTAAATGACTATTTTGCAATGGGTTAATCCTTCAAATACATAGAGAACCCAGGAGGAGAGTTGATCAAACGTTTTCTCGTCCAGTGTCTAGGAAGGTGTGACGTGCTCTTGCCCATGCTTGACAGGAAAAACTAAACTTCATCTTAACCTTCCCAGCCAATGCTTTTTTGGAGCAGTGATCACATTCCATCTGATTTTGCTTCCTTCCACACAGGAACCTATCACTGCATATTTAGATACAAGAAATCGTACAGTGTCGCGACAAAAGATGTGATGGTTCACCCACTGCCTCTAGAGCCGGACATCATGGTGGACCCTCTGGAGGCTACGGTTCCGTGCAAAGGTTCCCATCACTTCAGGTGCTGCATTGAGGAGGACGAAGACTACAAAGTAACTTTCCACGTGGACTTCTTATCCTTTCTTGCAGGTAAGACATGCATTGATGCATTGTGGGATCTCAAACTTCCCTCTGAAAATAGAGGTAGAGAGACATGAGGATTGCCTCAGAGACAGAATGTAACAGAGGGTACCTCATGAACTTTATTACCTTCTGTTGTGCTGTGTGGCCCAGGGCTTGTTGGTTTTTGGCAGAATTTGAGTGTGTGTGAGGGTGGAGCCCATGGGTTTTAGTGGAGGCTATTGAAGACAGTGTTAAGACACCTTCACAGGCCTTCTGCTTCCTCAGTATATCCGGTATTCTGGTGGTCCCTCTCTCCATGCTATGCATCAGCATATTATAAAAGCACCACAGAAATCCTTTCAGATGCACAGCTGAGCATCCAAGAAAGTGAGAGAAATAACCAAGGGCTAAAAACATAGAGAAAAAGAAAAATAGAAATGCTTTAGCTTCTGGTGAGACTTCTCTGAGGGTATCAGTCAGTATGAAAAACCCAGAAACTTGGGGTAGTTTTTCCTAAAGATTTTATTTATTTATTTATTTATTTATTTATTTATTTATTTGAAAGAGAGAGAGAGCACACAAGCAGGGGTGGGTCAGAGGGAGAGGGAGAAGCAGACTCAGTTGAGCAGGGAGCGTGACATGGGGCTCAATCCCAGGACCCTGAGATCAGGACCTGAGCAAAAGTAAGATGTTTAACCGACTGAGCCACTCGGGTGTCCCAGAACCTTGGGTTTGAAGGCTCTGAAGGGCATGGAAGAAAGGTTTTGCTCCCTATGCAATGACTAAAGGGCCCCATGTCACCAGCACAATGTCAAGACTCTCAAAGGGTGACATGTTCACTCAGAAGAGGATAAACAAAAAAACAAAATTTGTCCACCAGAGTTAAGAGCTTTGCCTCATTTCTGGGTGGGCACCAGTTTCCCCTGAGAATTACAACCGTCCTGCTCTCAAGCTGCAGAGTAATTAATGTATAGTGGTCCATGGGTAGCACCCAGTGGTACCTGGCGTGCACACACACACACACACACACACACACACACACACATCAAATCCTTTAAGGTAGAAGGTACCCTCAACCCAGAGACCTCAGGGTTCCTACAGATTAAGGTGAACCTAGTATGAGCTTGCAACCCCAAATCTCACAACAGAGACACCTTCATGAGGGATTTGCAAGCTCATTCATTCTTTGAACAACTATTCATGGTGACATGCTCAATGCAAAACACCATAGGAAGCAATGAAAAGGGGACGTGAGAGTTGGGGCACATGTGTTACTAACTAGCTGGAAGGGTTCTTGTCCTAAAGGAAGATCCATATAATGTTAAATTTCCAAAATGAACACTGCAGATCAAAAGAACCCGATGTTCAGAAAAGCAGGACCCAGTAGAGACAAGGATTTAGAGAAGGTGTGTGACAGGAGGCTATAGACTCCCTCTGGGTACTGGAGTACTGAAGCATTTCACCATCCCGTGTTTAACATGCATGTATTCAGTGCTCTCTAGGGGCCACATACTGAGCTAGGCACTGGGAGATGCAATGATAAACAAGACCAGGTACCTTCTCTCCAAGACTTTATCAATGTAAAGGAGGAGACAGACCCATAAAGAAGGGATGCTAAACCAACATGGAAAGGCAGGACAGGAGAAATGCACAGGGCATGACAGGATGTGGAAGAAAGGGATGCTGAGAGGCATTCTGATTGTCCAAACTGTATAGGCACAGATTTGGAGTCATGAATGGTGGAGGTAGGGGTTAGGGGAGCACCATGTAGGGGTGGGCTGACTTACTTACTTATAGACTAGGGGCATTTTAAAAACCACATTAGAATTAAATGTGGCACATGCCTTGGAAAAGTTTGGACATATTATCCATATTGGATCATTTCAACAAAATATGTGCTTTGGAGACTCATCTTGTGACTTGATTCTTCCAATAATTCTATCTCAGAAAAAGAAGTTAATGGAAAGCAAGTATGTTACAAACACAGTTTCTCGGCAAGCTCAGTTTCCTGGTGTCCAAAGAAGCTGGACATTTTTTGTCACTTTACCAATGCTGCTAACAATTCAGTCCGGAGCTCAGCTATGAAGATTAACCTGGTTCCAAGTAAGAGCATTTGAAATTTTTTAAAAATGTGGTAGTCATGAGCAGGGATTCATTTATTCATTTGCTCCCTCATTCATCCATTCAATAAATGGATATTGTGCACCTTCATGTGGCAAGCCTTGGGCTAAGGGTGGAGGGTCTAGAAGAAATAACCACAACCACAGCAACAACTAAACCATGGTGACTAACCTCAGGTGTAGGGGAAAGATGTGTGTGATGACATCTAATGTGGTGAGGGCTGAACTAGAGATCACACGGGAGACCAAAGAGGCTGCCAGGTTTCATTCTACTGGTGAGAGTCAGGAGGAAGTGATCAAGAAGGTCTTGTGTATGAAGCTCTATTTCAGCAGAGTCTGGGAGGCAAAGCACTGGACTGGGCGGTACCTAGTGTCTTTGCGGGACTTACACCCCTTTGAGGTTTCAGCAAAGGAAGGAAGAGTGTCACCACTAGACAGGGCTACATGAAAATATCAATCTAAAAAAATAGGCAACCATCTTTCCCATCCTTCATCATCACCAAGCCTATATCCCCCCCCCCCTGCATAATATTTTCAAGGTAGAAGGTCATGGTTTATGGACATTTCTGTAATAGCCCATGACCAAGAACTCTCCTCAGGAGCATCAAAGAGGCAAGTGAATAAAGCATGGTCCAGGGCTTCCACTAAAAACAATCCTCTTCCCCAGAAATCTTGTCTGTACCAGGACCTCTGATATCCAAAGCATTCATGACTCTATCACCAGGCATGTTTGGTTTACTGAGTGATCTGTGGTAATTCTCATGCATTGGTAACTAAGCTCTGGACACCAAAGTGGGAAGCAATTTAGAGTTCCCTATCTCCCTGAGTCACTGTTCCCTGACCCTACCAAGCACACCTCTTCCAGGGACAACCAAGACCCCTTCTTCACCAACCCCTGTGCCACCATCTTCACCCAGGCACAGACATGTTTTATTCGTTTATGTTTGTTCTTCTCTTCCTTCATACCAGATCTGATTCCTCTTCCTTTTCCCAGTAGAAATTACTTACATATTTCAAGATTTTATACAATGACTGAGAACTCAGTTGATGTTAAATTTGTAAGTTGGTGAGAAAGGGATCTTACCATCAGAGAATCAAAGTCCCTTGGAGATCAGAGATTCTGCAATAAATGTCATTTTCTCATTCCGATCTGGTCTTGAGTTGACATGAAATAGAGTCAACTCTAAGGGCAACCAGAAGGAACAAATGTTTACAAATATTGCTTAGAATATTCAGGTCATGGGTACCTGGAATTCCCACTATTAATTATATATGTGAATTAAGGCAGTGCTTCTCAACCTTGGCTGCATGCTAGAATCACGGGGGAAAGTTAGAAAATAGCCAATGCTTAAATCTCAGCCCCAAGGGGTTCTTATCTATTTGGGCTGAGTGAACCATGACATTGGTATTTTCCTAGCTCCCCAGGTGATTTGAATATGCCAGAGTTGAGAATCCCTTGGATTAAGGCATATTGTCCCTGAGATTCCTGGTAACCTGATTATCTCTTATCAGAATGAGCACACATTAAGCTCTCATGATTTTTTTCATGGCTTAGATTTAACAGACAGCAGAGAGAAGATTCCCAGGGATCGGAGGCAGGGATGAGGCATACAGGAAATAAATTGTTAGAAAAGCAAATGCATGTGAAAGATTTGTGTCAAAAGCACAAGGGCCTTTGGAAGATCAGGAGCAAAATAAAGAAAGTGGGTAACTCCGAAAAGGTTGCGGAAAACTAAAGAGAAAAATGAATTCAAACAGCAACATTCTAGCTAGGCCTGACCCTCTTTTGACTATCCTTTTTCCTCCTTTCAAATTGTCCTTTTTATTTCCGTTTCCAATACAGGAGAGAAGATCATGTGCCGAGATCCCACAATAGGTGTTGGGGAACCTGGGAAAGTCATCCAGAAACTATGCCAGTTCTCAGATGTACCCAGCAGCCCTGCGGGTCCCACCGGTGGGACAGTGACTTACAAATGTGTAGGCTCCCACTGGGAGGTGAAGAAAAATGACTGCATCTCTGCCCCAATACATAGTCTGCTCCAGCTGGCCAAGGTGATCTTTACACCTCTTTGACTTTGAGCTCTTGGTGGGGAGATCCATCTAGCTTATCATATTTCTTAGCAAATGGGCCTTGGCCTGGTTGGTGTTGCTCCCAAAGCTACTTTTATTTGTTTACTTCCAAAGAAGTGGCAATCCTAGAAATGCTTTATGTTTTTCTTAAGTACAAATATGGAGACCACAAAATATGTATTCTGCTCTGGGACCAGCTGTGTACCTTCACGTTGACCTCTCAGTGCCTTGTTTCTATTACCTCTGAAGTGCAGGTGGAATTATCTTCTCTTACCACTCTCCTTTGAATAATCTTGATTACCAAGTAAGTAGCTCTCATCTTTTCAGAAGGAGGAGATACATTAAAAAAATAAGGTTCATCTGTGTAAAAAAAATATGTGTATATATATATATATATATATATATATGCATGCTTGGGCTTTCTGCTTTTATAGGTCTGAGATTTCTTTCATCCTTAGAGGTAACCTTTGGTTATGAAAGATGGAACTAGCCTGCCTCTCTTACCTAGAAGAGAGGTTCCTGCCACGTGGTAGGGGAAAATTTCTCCTTTCATCAGAATAAATAAATGTTACCTCATCCTGAAGTTGTCAAGAGTAGAGACGTCTAAAATGCCATGAGTCACACTAAACAAATACTGACGAGGCCACTAGTGGAGTTCTAGTGAATGATATTGTTAGACAAGCCATTCCAAACACTCTCACTGTTGGAAGAAGAATTAAGGAAAAGGAGTGGCACTGATTTGTGTCTCATCTAATTATCTTCTGTCTCTCCTCTTGTCTTGTACTAAATTCATTAAAATACCTACTAGGTGCGAAGCATTATTGCAGGTGCTCTCAGGGTAAGGCCACCAAACCAGAATTCCGTCTATGATTTGCTAGAAGATGTAATCCTGTTGGGTAGTTCAATATACATTAATTTTGCTTAGGATAATCAGGAAGCTCTGCTTGAAGAACTTGGCCTCTGAGTTGGACCTTGATGAGGATGCTCCAGTGATATGAATTTCCCTAATTGAGAAAGATGGAAATATTTAATTTGAATTCAGTGTTGGGCCCTGGTCCCAATTCTAGATACTTAGATGCATTTTCAATGGAAAGGTTGGCCTGTTAGCCTATCAGATCTATCCATTCAACGTATATTTATTGAATACCTATTATGTGCCAATTTATGACTTATGCTGTATCAGGCATTATAGCGTACCAAACGGAATATAACATGTTTCAAATTGCTAAGGAGCTTATAATTTAATTGGAGAGATATTGAAAGTCAAACACAAGATGACATTGGTAGAAATGTCACAAATGTAAAAGTAAGTTAAATATGTTAAGTATGTTAAATAACACTTACTGGGGCATCTGGGTGGTGTAGTCCATTAAGCATCCGACTCTTGGTTTTGGTTCAGACCCTGATCTCAGTGAGGTCGTGAGATTGAGCATCACATTGGGCTCCATGCTGAGCATGGAGTCTGCTTGAGATTCTCTCCCTCCCTCTGACCCTCCCGCTCATGCTCCCTCTCTAAGATAAATAAATAAATCTTTTTTTAAAAAATAACAAAGACTTAGGAAGTCAGAGGAGGAAACTCCCCTGGGTTGGAATACTCATCAAAGTTCTTTATGGATGAGGTTGAATTGGCGTTCATCCTTTAATTGTAAGTAAGGGCTTAGGAAGTAATTGGGTAAGTAATTAGGGAACAGAAGTGGGGATGGCCGTATAATTTACCATCCAAACCAGGACACATTTTGAAAATAAAAGAGAGTGCTAGTAATAATTACACTGGGTCAGCAGATATAAAGCAGAACTGTCCCAGGAAAATTGGGATGGAGAGTCACCCCCCCCAATGGTCAGCAAAGTAAGTGACAAGAAAAAGCAGCGTAGCAAATGTGTTTCCGTACAGACCATCAAGAGATAATTTTACTCAATTTTAATCTAACTCTCTAGGAATCAGATCCCCTTTCCTTTTTCTTTAACTAGTAGTCATCGGGTTGACATGTGTTTTACTCTTCCCCTTCTATGGGTGAGATCTTACTCTATTCTGAATAGCACACAGATTAAGAGAGAAGTTATTTTATAGGGTATATTTATAGGAATGCAGAAAAAAAAGAAATCATGAATGTAAGAGATTTCCATCATGGGTAGATCAGCAGGATTTGTTGACAGGACTGACTGGCAAGGTTTTTGAGTGTCTGTTTGTGTTGGCTTTTGTTTTACTAGGCTTTGATCAAGAGTCCCTGTCAGGATACAAAGCTCCCAGCATACCTGAAGGATCTTTCTGTCAGCACAGGCAAGGTGAAACATGAAGTCAGCTCATTTCCCGGGAGCCTGGGAGCCATCATTAACATCCTCGATCTGCTCTCAACAGTTCCAACCCAAGTGAACTCAGAAATGATGACGGTGAGTTGGTTGAGACCTTACAGGAGTTTTGGGTCCCCTCTTTTCACCCCTTGGGACTTCTGGTCAAGAAACGTAACTTGTCGCCATTACAGCCCCTTCTTTGTCTTCTCCAGAACAATACTCTGGATTTTAGAGTCACAGAGTATGCTTTGTGCTTTGTCAGCTATGGTTTTTAGGGTCACGGGGGCGGAGGGGGGGGTGGTTCTAGTATTCATTTGGAGATCAAAAGAATCTCCATCTCAGTTTCCTCATTAAAATAGAATGGATACTTACCTGCTTTCTAAGAAAACCAGGAGGGAAAGGTTTTCAGAATATTGTACAATGGAATGGATGGAATGTATGGACTTCTCAGTGATCTAGAACTAAACATGAACTTGAGGCAATCAGGGTTCTGAGAGGAGTCACCCAGAATTCAAATGAAGAGTTCAAATGATGAGACTTTAACGAAAAGATACTTTCAGAGGTCAATCCGGGGATTAAAAAAAAAAAATAGAAGCCAGTACTACCCTGAGGCCTAAAGGGGAAAGGAGAGGATAGCGTGCACCTAAAGTGGAGGGAGAACAAAACCTTGGAGGAGGGATCACTAGCGGGAGCAACAGAACTATCACCAAAGATGTGCAGAAGACAGTATGTGTGTAGAGGGGAGAGGGGGTGACTGCGGTGGATTGTAGGAAAATATATTTCAACTTCTTCCTTCTCCCACCTTCCCATCTCCTGCCAGTGCTTCCCAGTGGCCAAACACAGCCAGAGGTACCTGGCAAGAGCTTGGGGAGCAAGGGTCCAAGGAGGTTATGTGGACCTCCTATGGCGAGGGTAAGGGAGTGCCACCCACTGGGTGGCTTACCATGACAGGAACTTATTCTGTCATAGTTCTCAAAGCTAGAAGTCTGAAATCAAGGTGTCTGCCAGGCCATGTTCCTTCCCAAGTCTCCAGGAAAGACTTTCTCTGTCTCTTCCAGTTCTGTGTAGCTCCAGCACTCTTTGGCTTGTAGCTGCCTCAGTCCATCCTCTCTGTCTTCATGGGACCTCCTCATCTCCATTTATCTTCTCCTCTTCTGTCCCTTATAAGAATTCTTGACATTGGAATTAGAGCCCACCTAGGTAATCTGGGATGATTTCCTCTCAAGATCCTTAATTTAACCACATCTACAAAGATCCTTTCCCCAAATAAGGCCACATCCACAGGGCCTGGGTATTAAGACATGTTCTTTTGGGCACCATCATTCAACAAACTACAAGGCTCATAGTTTCAGATTGAACAGAACAAGGCAAAGGAGGGCAAAGAAATTATATGGAGAGACTGAGAGAAAGCCCAAATGGAAAATGACAAACCCAAGTTTATGGGAGAAAAGATAAAAATATTTAGCAAAAAAAAAAAAAAAGAATGATGCCTTTGCCAGCAGTTTGGCATTCAGCTTTGGAGAGGGTCTTTTGAAACAACTTCACCCTTATTGAGAAAATATCACTCTCTACAGGCTTGAGATTTTAGGTAATATAATACAATGAATACATATCTCTACCAGTCTGCTGAATTGGCCTTAGTGGGTAATGGGGGGTGATACTTGGTAAATGATTAAAGAGGTCTCCCAGCCCTGGGGATGCATCCTCTGCTAATTCCCTGCCGTAAGAAGGAGGGACACAGAGCCCCGTTGCCTGCAATGCCTCATTTTTCTCTTATCTTTTCCTCTTACCTGTTATCACACAACCAGCTTCCAGGGAGATGTTATTTTTTCTCTTTTATGATTGAAAGAATTTGGTTGGTTTGACCCCATGTCATGTCAATTACAGAACATTCTCTCTACGGTTAACACCCTCCTCAGCAAGCCCATGTTGAGTACCTGGAAGGTGTCCCAACAGCAACCGACCAACCAGAGCTCACAGCTTCTGGATTCAGTAGAAAGATTTTCCCGAGCATTATGGTCTGAAGATAGCACTTTTTTGTCCATCAACCAAACGAATGTGCAGATGAGGAGCATGATAATAAAACCTGGCCATCCAAAACCCTACAAACAGAGCTTTGTTTTCTCAGACTCAGACCTCTGGGGCAACGTGGCCATTGAAAAGTGTGAGCTGGGAAGCCTGCCATGGGGTTCGTCTGTTGTCACTGTGGCTTTCCCAACTCTCAAAGCCATCCTCACCCAGGACAGTCAAGGAAAGAATGTTGCGAACAACTTAGTGATGACAACCACTGTTAGCCACAATATAACCATGCCATTCCAGATTTCAATGACTTTTAAGAACATCAACCCTTCAGGTGGGGAACCACAATGTGTGTTCTGGAATTTCAGCCTCGCCAACCACACAGGGGGGTGGGATAGTAGTGGGTGTGAAGTGAGACGAGTTGACGGGGACAGTGTCTCCTGCATCTGTGACCACCTGACGTCATTCTCCATCCTCATGTCCCCCGACTCTCCATACCCTGGTTCCCTCCTGGAAATACTACTGGATATCATCTCCTACATTGGGTTGTGCTTTTCCATCTTAAGCTTAGCAGCATGTCTAGTGGTGGAAGCCGTGGTGTGGAAATCAGTGACCAAGAATCGGACATCCTATATGCGCCACATCTGCATCGTGAACATTGCTGCCTCCCTTCTGGTGGCCGACATCTGGTTCATTGTGGCTGCTGCCATCCACGACCATTTTTATCCTCTCAACAACACAGCCTGTGTGGCCGCCACCTTCTTCATCCATTTCTTCTACCTCAGTGTCTTTTTCTGGATGCTGACTCTGGGCCTCATGCTCTTCTACCGCCTGGTTTTCATCCTGCATGACACGAGCAAGTCCATTCAGAAGACTATTGCATTTTCTCTTGGCTATGGCTGCCCTCTTGTCATCTCAGTCATCACGGTGGGGGCCACCCAGCCCCAAGAAGTCTACACCAGGAAGAATGCCTGCTGGCTCAACTGGGAGGATACCAAGGCCCTGCTGGCCTTCGTCATCCCAGCGCTGATCATCGTGGTAGTGAACATGACCATCACAGTTGTGGTCATCTCCAAAATCCTGAGACCTTCCATTGGAGATAAGCCAAGCAAGCAGGAGAAGAGTAGCTTGTTTCAGATCAGCAAGAGCATCGGGGTCCTCACACCACTCTTGGGGCTCACCTGGGGTTTTGGTCTTGCCACTGTGTTCCAAGGAAGCAATGCTGTGTTCCATATTATATTTACGCTCCTCAATGCCTTTCAGGTAAGTTCTTCAGGGCAGGGCTCTCAGGAAGTATCTGAACTGGTGGGACAAATTAATGATAGAAACACAAACAGGGGTAGGAATGGGGAAGAATTTTAGTCCAGAGGAGGCCCTAGCCCTAAAGAGGGGGAATTACAAGAACCCAGTGAGATAGAAGGGACCCATTCCTCTGCTCCCATGGAACCTTATACCTCATATCACCTGCATTATAATTTAGCTGTACACATGACTTACTTTGAAAAGCCCTAATAATACAAGTAGGAGGAAAGTCCCTTCCCTACACAGGATTTTTCTATTTACCCAACATTATCACGATGCCACTTACTATCTCCTAAATGAAAATGCCACTATTAAACCAAGTCATTTCTCCACTTAAGCATTCCACAAGCATTAAATGAGCACTATCTTTGTGAAGTCAGGGATAGCATCTGTCTTCCTTATCACTTTATCCCTATATTACCTAGTGGTACAGTGTAGGTGCTCGATAAGCATCCGGCAAAAAAATGAATGTCGTGTGCCACATAGTATGTTCTCTAGAAACATTTGCTGAAGAATGAGAGAACGAATGCCCCATGTAAGGTAGATGTTCTGCTCTATTATACTAAAATGAAAAAGACACACCCTTTGCTCTCTTGCAGTACATAACAAACTATATACAAGCCACATTGTTAGAAGAGCTTTAGCAAAGGTACAGGCAGCAAGGAAGGAATGCTTAACTCTGATTCAACCAGCAGGTGGGGGTAAGCATGGGCTCCCATGAGCTGATGAGGAGGTTAAACAGTCACGGTCCCGGATGCTCTTGCCAAATCCACACAAGACCTAACCTCTGCTTCTAGGTCTGACTTCAAACTATAAGGCTCATGTCTAATGAAGTGTACAGCATGGCCTGACTAGAAGGAACCAGTTATTTCACCCGAGGCCCCAGGTCCGCATCACAATGACGTGAACACTACTGCAAATAGAAGAGGTGTATTCAGCTGCCCAACAGCTGGCAATGCCAGGCTAACAATACTTCCTATTTTGCTGGACAATAGACTATAATTAAAATATCCTTCTTCCCAATTCTTTTTTTTTTTTTTTTCCCCAGGGATTATTCATTTTACTCTTTGGATGCCTCTGGGATCAGAAGGTAAGAACTATAACCGTTTCATGCTTCTAGAAAAGTCAAAGTGCTTGTGGCATATTGAACTCACGATGGCTTCTTTTAAACAACGGTAGGTCCAGGAAACCTTGTTAAAGAAGTTTTCACTGTCAAGATGGTCTTCACAGCACTCAAAGGTCAGTCTTTCCTTTTAGAGACTTTTGAAAACCTCTCTCTCCACACCCAGGTTTAGCATAGATTATTTCGATGTTTTTGCTTTGGACTTGATTCTGCCTATTAAGGTCAGCCACAGAACTACCATTAAGATGCTGTCCCACATCTTTTAGTAGGAATCGGATAGCACAGATAATACCAATTGGAGGTCGAAAATCAAAATTCACTGAGAAATAAGAAACTTCTGGGGAAATTTAAGGCACTAGAGAACACAACGTAAAGAATAACGATGAGTATATTTTCCGTAATTCGTTTTGGAAAGTAACCATTGCACTCAAACGTATTTGACTGTTATCACATGTCAGAAGATACCAAACCCTATCAAACAGCAAAACATGCATTTGAAAGTTATTTTCCTAAATCTGATGAGAGTCTAGTATTTCCAAGTGGCTTTCCTGCTTGATTTGTTTGAAGCAGAAATTCACGCTCTTCCAGGCTTTTTCATGCGAATGAGAGATGCAGACAATGACCACTAGTGGGCAGCAAATGAAACATCCTAGAGATAAAACAGAGCTTTGGTTTAACATTTGCTTTGTAACTGTCTTTCTTCTCTTTTTCAGTCAACATCCCTAGGTTCATCGACACCAGTATTTTCTATGAGTTCTCCCATATCAAGAAGATTTAACAATTTGTTTGGTAAAACAGGTATGTAGTGACCTCTAGGTCACTCCCTAGAGCACTTACTTTGGGTTGACTCAAACAAATTTGCCCTGATGGGGAATCTCACACCCCTACCTTCCCACTCCCCGCTTTACAACAATCACTGACAATGGCCTCATTTGGGCGCCGAGGTTAAATACAGGAACTTGCTTACATTTTCTCAAACCACCAGGAGGCTGGTACAGAGGGCAGCTAATAATAACTTAAGGATAACTTCAGTGGGCAGCTAATAATAACTTGAGGATAAAATTTGGAGAAGCTTGACAAGCCTGTGGAGAGCTGTCTGTCAAAACTCTATCAACTACAAAAAAGAGAACGGTGAATTGCTGGCCTTGTCAAACATGGAGTTCTTTGCTATTCATGCCTTTTTCTTTTTTTTAAGATTTTATTTATTTATTTATTTTTGCAAGAGACAGAGAGAAAAAGAAAGAGAATGTACAAGAAGGGGGGGAGGTGGAGGCAGGGAGGGGGTGGTGCAAAGGGAGAAAAGCAGGCTTCCCGCTGAGCAGGGAGCCAGATGCAGGACCCTGGGATCATGCCCCAAGCCAAAGGCAGACGCTTAACCGACTGAGCCACCCAGGTGCCCTCTTTGCTATTCATGTTAAATAGAAATAGGAAGGTCATGTTTATGGGCTCAGGTGTAGCAAAAAATAGATTTAAAAAGGTCTACTATAGGATCACATGCTGTGGGCTCCTTTCCCCCTTTTTATTTTCCTTTCCTTTTTCTTTCTTTCTTTCTTTCTTTCTTTTTTCTTTTTTTTTTTTTTTTGGAGTGTGCTTATTGTACACATTGATATTTACAAAACTGTGCATAAATGTAGGAGGAATCACCCAAGTTGTAGTCACTCCTATTCTATTAGGAATCAATCCCTACCTTGGAGGTATAAAATCAATAATGTTAATGACTTTGGGCAATGGGTCTCAGCTATGCTGGGAAATTGAAACCTCTGTCCACCATTCCCCTACCTCCAGGAAACTAAGTACCAGAATTGCTTCCAGCTTCTTGAAAATGAAACGGTCTCATAAAGGCAGGACCTAGAAATGTGTCAGTATTCCAGACTAAGGCTTTTCCTGTAAAATCAAATTCGGGGGCACCCGGATGGCTCAGTGGGTTAATAAGCCTCTGCCTTTAGCTCAGGTCATGATTTTAGGGTCCTGGGATTGAGCCCTGCATCGGGCTCTCTGCTCAGCGGGGAGCCTGCTTCCCCCCCCACCGCCCTGCCTGCCTCTCCACCTACTTGTGATCTCTCTCTCTGTCAAATAAATGCATAAAATCTTTAAAAAAAATCAAATTCAGAGAATGCCTATCAATTGTTAGAACTCCACAGGACTTGGTGTTTGGGGCTTCGATTTGATGCATTACTCATGAGAGTGGAGAGGCTTTCCTTTTGATGTTGAACGTCAGTGATTGGGCCTGCTGTGAAATGATCCGACCTTCAAGGGTAGAGGACTTGGCACTTGGCCGACACTGTCACTGGAACATGCCGACCATTTGCATCCAAGTGAAAACCCTACAGAATGGGTTTACTGAATCAGAATTACGCAATCTGAAGCCCAAAAAAATGTGCTCTTTTTTTTCTGAATCGGGCTGATCAAAGTTGGAGTTCAGGCTGTGTTCCTGAGGTCCCAGGGCCTGAGATTCCCAGTAACTGCCATTGGACGTTCTCTCCAGGGTCATTCATGCGGCTCCGTGTTGGCCTGCTTGAGGATCCCATAATCACTGTAACTTTGGTTTATGTTGTCAGCAGCCCCAAGGGGCCCCCCAGGCAGTGATGGAAACCTTGTTAGCAGTGGCAGCTCACCAATCTGATGGTAGGGTGGGCACCGTGTCCCTTCCTCACCCAGCACCCCGACCCCACTTGCCCATGCTCAGTCCCTGCCTCCTGCTGATGCCAGCCCATGTGTGACTGCTCCATGGCTGCCCCCACCACCCTGCTGCCCTGACCTCCACTTCTTCCCTGGTCCTGCTTTTTCTTCTCCTTTAATTTGCTACTTTCTTTCCTTTTCTGCCTTTCCTCCCCTCCCCTCCCCTTCCCCTCGCCTTCCATCTCAGCCCTTAGACCCCTCCCAGGAGCCTCCCCAAGTCATGCCCACCCAAGGGGACCAGGGAGCTTCCCTCACGCGATGTCCCCAGGCCCATGCATGTGGTGGCATGTGGAGGGCTGCCCATGTTCACATTTTCCCTGTCCTGTAGAAACCTGGCTGCTGGTTTGATGGGAAGTAGTTAGTGCTTGTCTTGTCGGCTGCCACGCATGCTTGAGAACGACGGCTGTTTGTTCTCTGGCCCTTCTGGGTCCTGGGAAGGGGGTGGACATGGGTTTGTTTCCAGGTATGGCAGAGCCTACCTGGCTCTCGAGCGAGAGCTCCCCTTGGGCCACATCGGGAAAGGCGCACGCCACCGTTATCATGAATTCTTGCACTTAAGCCTGAGCTGCTGCTCTGTTTTTCAGGAACATACAATGTTTCCACCCCAGAGACAAGCAGCTCATCCCTGGAAAACACATCCAGTGCTTACTCCTTGCTCAACTAAGAACAGGAAAATCGACCCGTGTGTGACTTCTTTAAAGGACAGTGGATATGCTCAGGAAAAAAAAAAAAAAAATCTTTTCAAAGCCATGGGTAAAATGTTTCCTCCCCAGGCTTTCTGGAGCAGATGCTGAAGAGACTCTCTCATTAGGGAAAAGAAGCTTTCTTTCCTAAAGACAGACTAAATGTAATTGTTAAGTTTATTTGCTGCCCCACCCCCACCACTTGTGTGATACTAAATGTGTACAGTATTTAAGTGAGACTCAAAACCCCTGAGGCCCAACTTCCCTGTATTGTAAAATAGAATTTCAAAGAGACATTTTTCCTTGTCATACGTTGGGCACAAAAATAAGCTTTGATTCAAATAATAAACACAAGGCTAGTACCTAGGAAATACTTCAGTGAACTCTCAGAAGGAAGGAAGGAAGGACACAGGAAAAAAGAAAAAAATAGAGAAAAAGAATAAGAACCACATTTTTAAAATTTCCATGTTAACATAATCATTCTGATACTGCAACATGGAGAATACAAAAATGGCTCAAAAACAGAAACTGAAATAAATCATGGAGAAAGTTTGGTAAAAAGTTTGAGAAAAAAAAAATTTTAAGGCAGTGGGAAGAGATTGGGAGGAAATTGTAACATCAGCATGCTTGCAAGTGGATAATAATATTTACAAGAAATGCATGGAAGAAGATGTAATTCTCCTGATGTTAAACGCACACAGACATATGCTGGTGCACGTGAAGGCTGGAGCTCAGGGCAGGGAGCAGGCAGAGGAAATGGGATAGCCACGCTTCACCATATCCAAGCAGATCCAACTGCTAGTTACATTTTCTACCATTTATCAGAAAAGCCTTACCTTTTGGTTTGTTCCACTTTCTGAAGGCAAAAAATATATATATTTTTATATCCATCACTTGCCAAATGTGACATATGGTGATCTAAATGTGATATATTGCACTGGAAACAGATCGCAACCGTTGTATATTGCATTTAACAGCTTTAACCAGGTACTTCTCTGTGCATCATAGGATAGATTTTCATAATCTTATGGCATTGTTTATCTATGTTGTTGCTACTGTGGATTTAGAGACCCTTGGTGTGTGGTCTAGCTCCCCATGTATTAGCTCTTTCAGTCCTTAAGTTCCAAGACCAATATACAGTAAGAGTTTTGTATTGTCTAATTTGTGTTCATTCCAACCACTTGGAAATCCTCTGAAATGAAATGTTACAGTTGGCTACTCTAGGCTCCCAATGACACTTGACCTTGATGAGTAGATGGTGGAGCTTTCCCTGAGGATTTGGCTGTCTGTGAATTACGTGCATGTGTGTGTGTGTGTGTTGCTTGTGGTATGTGCATTTCATAAAAATATAAATATTTATTAAAATTGTACCCATATTAAAGTTAAGCATGTGCTGTAGCCACGCAACCATACATTCCAAATTGAAGTCTGATCCCAGAGACACAGTGAAACGGAATAAAAATATGGGGCTACTCGGGGAATGTGGGCCGTGTGGTCTTCGTAAGGACTGAGAACCAGCAGGGATCCAACCATCAGGAAGGTGGACAGAAGAGGCTGCGATGTAGCAACCTTTTGTTCATTGAGTTTTGAACGAGTTTTCTTGTAACATTTTAACTCTTTAACATTTCTTCTTTTTATTTTTTATTTTAAATTCTACTTCTGCCTCTCTTTTCCTCAGGGAGAGAAGCAGGTGGGGCAGATAGAAGTCTTAATAATGTTTCAAATAAATGAACTGGTCATTTCGACACATTCACCAATGATGTAGACATCTACTCCCACGTTTGCCTGGAAATTGTCACAAAGGAAATGATGGAAGCTATAAAATTCTCCAGGGATGGTCAGCTTGGGGCAGAAATCAGTACCAAGGTGACAGAGCCGGAGGCTAGGTTGGAGGATCAATGGGATGAGAATTACAGGTTCGAGAGAGAATGGCTTTGATTGATATGGTTCCTGGAGTGATCTCAAGGATAACGAAGGCAAGGTTATATAGTACAGTGTGTGAGCCTGGCCATCGTGACATGATCGGCCAAAGAAAGTGAAGCCTTCAGGAGGAGCTCCAAGATGACAGTGGGAAAAGAAGCACTGACCTTCCAGCCATGACAGTAGGGATCCTTTGGGAATCATTGTGTTGTGAAGGAACCTCTATAATGGCAGGAACCTTCGCAGCATTCATAGGATGTGGGTTTGGCCCTTTGCCCACGTCCATTTACTGAGGCACGTTTCCTTACCCCCAACACACACGTGCGTGCACACACACACACACATATGAGCACATGGTTTCTAGCTTTCAAGCCACCACACCAGATCAAAATTCCAGAAAACCTATGAAAACAAAAACTTAGAGATGTACTCGCTCAACTGCAAGATAGTTTAACCACTGCTGTTTGCCAAGAATATCCTAAAAAAAAAAAAAAAACAATGGAATTCAATATTGTAAAAAGAGATCCATCCGTGAGTCTGTGAGGTCCGTGAAAGCAGGAGCCCTGCCTGGTCCTGTGTTCACAAGTTCTCCATCAACAATGACTGCAAGGATTTTAGCAGCAGATTTCTGAGGAAGAGGAGGAAGGAATGTCAGCTCTGATGGTGGTACAAAGTGAGATATATGGTCTGCCTGCTTGCAAAGTGCTCAGTGCTTCCCCATGTGCCTGACCTGTCAGTGGCCAAAACTTAACCTGCATTAAAGGGCCTTCTATTAAGTCAGTTCCTTGCAAAGGGATCTGTGCTAATGCTTCAGAGGTTGTGAGGTGAGAGTATTCACAAAGGAGCAACTAATCTGAGCTACAGAAATATTCTCTGAGAATATTGTTAAGTCCAGTGCGACACATCATGTCTTGAAGGAGTCGTGTTTGCCATCCTCCTCCCCATTTCTTATGGATGGAAAAAGAGATAAATAAGACCCATGGGGTTTTCAGAATATAAGTTGCTAAGGCCAGAAATTAAGAAACACTGGAAAATTCTAGTCTTTTGTCATTTGTGTAGAGAACTTCAGAAAGATCAGTGTAAGGAAGGTAAAAAAAAAAAAAGTGACATGGGGAAGAGAAAGAGCATAGCGACTGTCAGTGTAGATGCAGGGGAGGGAGTTATTCTGAGGTGAGAGGAGAAGAAAGTCACAACCATTGGAGAAGACAAAAGGAAACAAGTATGGTCCCAGAAATCCCGTGTAGATGGAAAGCATTTGATCTGTGGCACATGAAGGTGATGTCAGACAGAAATTGTGCACCCCAAAGAGAGCCATGACCCAAGCCAATGGAAGTCTGTTTCCCTGAGTGCCCAAAATAAAGGAGGGGCTTACAATGGATGTTATCTTTCTTATCTATTTTTTTTAAATGTCTACGAAAATAGTGTCTCATCATTTGACAGATGTTAGCTTTGGAATGAGAGGCTATAGATTTCTAAAAGTGTGACTTGGGATATGAAATCATGTCATCATAGTACGCCAGTGTACAGCTATGTGTCCTGTCCATGCTTATAACAATAAAATATCTAGTGAGATCTCATGAAGCTTTCTTTATATAAATTGTCTGCTCTTTTGTAACTAGGCCAGTGTTGCTGTTTCAGGCTTCCCTACCAGAAATCCAACCAGCATTTAACAGCATTCTTTAAACAGTGAATGGCTGTGCTGCTTCCGTTCTCCAGGCATAGTGGGGAGGGTGGGGGAGGGCAGGGGAACCAGAAGCTTCCAGCTGAGCTCCCTTGGTTAACAGTGCCAACATCTTTCCTCCTGCCATCCACACTCCCATGCACCATGTGAAGCCTGGAATGTTATAGGGGTTTGAAAGGAGGGACCTTGAAGCAACACTTTCAGGACCTAACTGTCCGGGAAACAAATAAACAGATATGTGTTCTAACATTTGTGTATGGCTTGGTTGGAATTTTCATGGACGGCTGAAAACAGAGCCCTGTGAGCTCTGCTAACCACAGATTCTTCCTGCAATGTGGGTCCATATTTCCTGTTTTCATATTCTATTGCTGGGTAACATGTTTCCACAAAACTTAGAGGCTTAAAACAGCACCCATTTATGATTGCATGGTTTCTGGGGGGTCAGAAGTCTGTGCATGGCTTCACTGGGTCCTCTGCTCAGGGTCTGGCGAGGTGGAACTCAGGCTGGCAGCTGTGGATTCATCTGAAAGCTGAGATCCCCATCCGAGCTCATTGGTTGTCGGGCAAAAGTCCATTCTTTGGAGGTAGAGGACAGAGGCGCTCAGCATCTAAAGGCCATCCCCTGCCATGTGGCCTTCTCTACAATGTTGTTCTTTGCTTTTTTAGATTCAGCAGCAGAAATTCTGTGCTGCTTTGAATCTCTGACTTCAGTTTCTGATCCTAAACTTTCTTTTAAAGGACTCACCTGATTAGGTCAGGCCCACCCAGGGTAATCACCCTGGATAATTCAGGTGATTCAAGGGCCTTGATTACATCAGCAGATTCCTTCACCTTTGCCATATAATATATTCTAGTCCTGGGAGTGACGTGGTTGCAGGTCCCGTCCACAGTGAATCGGGAGAGGATTATACAGGATATTTCATCAGATTGTTTAAATAAACAACATTAAGGACACAATGCTGCTCTGCAGATTCTGTCTGAGATGTTTGCTGTGACTTTGTGACCTGTAAACATTTCTTTATCCACAGCACTAACCACACGGAGAAGGGGCTCTCCGGCAGTACCACGAATAAACCCCGTGTGATGCAAATACTGTAGCCTTGAGTCTGTCTACTGACTATGCAAATGGGAAAGAAGTCACCTTTCCGAGGGGACGGCATCCAGCTCTGTGGGGATTCGGGGAAAGGGTACTATTTGGAGAAACCTAATTTGTTCAGCTGAAAAGAGGCCCCCCAAGGCCAGGGCCGAGGACCTTGCCCAGCCGTGGTGTGTGTCTGGGCTGCAGGTGTAGTCAGTCCAGGAGCTGATGGTCCCTGGATGTTCAGGCCAACAGATCAGAGACCGAAGCAGACAGGTGCCAGCCAGTCCTCTACACGTTGTACCTCTGACCGCCCCCTCCTTAAAAATAAAGTCAAAATGCTGGCTTCCCATGAAATGCTGCCACCGGCAGCCCACGGGTCATGCCCAATGCTGGGAAGGCTCCTCCCTAACAGACCCACACACCCCTCCTATTCTCACCTGGGTCGCAGGTCCAGTCCTTGTCTGGACTTTTCTGCTCTTTTGTGCTGTTTTTTTTTTTTTTCTTTGTAAGATAACATATACATCATTCAGAAGTGTATACTTTCTTCATATAAACAGGAAGAAAAGCGTGCTTCCCATGAATACTTTCTGTAACATGCATGCAGCTTTCTTTGAACTTTTCAGTGACTCCGGAGAAGCTGCATGGTCTAGAGGAACAAGAACGTGGGTCACAAGCTTTTAAATTTTGAGTGAGCCACATTAAAAAAAAGTAAATTGGTAAAACCAATTGCAATAATAATTCTATGTAACCAAGTATATCCAAAATATTACCATTTCCAGATGTAACTAACGTAAGCTTGCTAAAGAGACATTGTACACTCCTTCCTTTTTTTTTTTTTTGTACTAAGGGTTGGAATTCCAGTGTGTAGTTTACACAGAC